AGGAATCATTTCATGTCAGAACAGAAACAGGTGAGAATCCTTGCGTGTCAGAACATAGATGAAAGTGCTGCAAGTGATGTACATTGATGAAAACTGGTGAAATTCTGTTGGAGGATATAATCCTACTAAGAGAGAAACTTGTTTCAAAGGTTTAGGTTAATTTAAGACACCTTAACCTTGTATGAATTATTGCACGTTCTTATAGAGTATAATTCAAATAACTGATCTTTCATTGCCCTTTTTAACATTTTAAATGGCTCTGTTTTTCTCATTTTATTCAAGATGAAAAATCTTTATTTTGGGTGGATTTTTCAAATAGAAAAAGATGTTAAATAACTAACTAGTTTAACTAGAAAAAGGAATTCAGTTTAATTGTTGAAATTCAACTGAATATTTTTAAAAAGTGACATTGGCTTTCCTTTTTTATAGTGTAATATAAAGAAGATATAGTAAAATATGAAGAATATATATTTATACCTTTGCAGGGGCCAACTTTAGTACTTAACTGTCGGAGCCAGTTCTACCCTGCTTCAGTGGCAGGAGAAACATCTGCATTTTGTTGCCTGTGCAGAATTTGACACAGATATTCACATTATGAGTCACCTGTTTCTGCCTCCCTCCACATGGCATCAGAACAACCTGATCGTACAGTGTTTGGTGTGGTGGCTCACATAGTCTTTGCTAATGCTAATCTCACATACTGTTCAAGACATGGGCATTGTCTTGGAAGACTTCGGTCTAAAACTAGCCAGTTTTGAAGTTTTAATAGTACTCTATCGGTAGTTCTTTATCATTATCCTCCTAATCTTTCTTACAATTTATTTTCTGCTGAAATTTCTTTTGCAAACCAAAGCATACTTAACATTGTTTGTATCTTTTTCCATCAAAATACTCTTCTTTAAAAAGCAAATCCCTATTGTTTGTTGAATAGAGTACACTATTGAGAGAACAGCTTGAAATTGAAACATTTTATATTAAAGCAGATCTTTTCAAATTCTAAAACCTTAAGGAGAAAGAAACTAAAAGTGAAAGTTATTTAGAGATGATTTCCTTCTCATTTCTCTAATTTTTATTCCATACTGCATGAGATTGGTAAAGCACTATCTTTTAGAATAACTTTCTTGATATTAGAAAAATATTAATAAAGTCTCTAATTGCTATTAACAGAATTTTTAAAAATGCATAGTTGTTGTGCATTCTACAACACATAACTAGACAAAAACATTCCCACAATTAAATGGTTACAGAAAAGTAATGAGAGCCCACTTAAATTTTTAAAACTAAATTGTGTAGAACACTTACCTGTTCTTCAGAAGCCTTATACAAATTTTATGTCTTTCATTGCCTTTTTTTGGTGTTGACTTAGGGAAAAATATTAAACTAAAAAGTGCATGTGTTAATAATTTTTAAAAACTCTCTGATTAAGGAAAGCCCTGGAAACAGTTTTAAATGAATGAAATTGCATTCATTTGTGTAGTAAATTGAAGATGGCATCTGCTGGGATGGGAGGAAAGGTAGCTTGAAAAATGCAATAGATGGCTTGGTTAGCTGCAGGCCCTGGATTTCATAGGTGGTATCATACCTGTGGAAATTAGAGGAAGAGTTTAAAGTTTGTTCTTTGATTATTGTTTTGTTGGACATATTTGAATGCCTGTTCAGTGCAAGAAAGTTAAATGTCAATTCTGTAGTTGTTTGGCTTATAATCCTACACAATAAGCAAACATAGAAATTGCTATGTTGCAGTAAGAATAACTAATAATTCATTTAAGAAATTTTTTCCCTTAAATGATACATGTATGAATCACCGACTGGCCTATTTATGCCAACTGTACATTCAGTTTGCTGGAACTCCTAGACCAACACAAAATTGAAGGATATTCATGTTGACCATAATTGGGAAATAATAGTAAGGATTGTAGATTTTTCTCTCTCCAATTGCATTTATCAAAGTAATACTTTAAGACCATCTATATGAATGATTCAGAAATTGGTAGTTTCCATTCAATAACATTCAAGTAAAGTAAAAAAGCAAATAGGGTTACTTCTTTCTTCTAAAGTTGACTTTTTTTTTTCCCCTGTAAGAGTCAAAGGGAGAACTTAGTTTTCCTGGATCAGTTACTCCAGAGTCAGACAGTTTTTATTTTTCCCTTGAAGACCTACTTAAGTTATAAACAAGGGAACAAGAGGCAGTTTCTTCCCTGGCATTGTCTGTGGAAGAATGGAGAACTGTACTGGAGAACCAGAATTAAAGTACTCAAATGTCCTTATGTATTTTAAAGACTACTCATGATATGTGAAGTTCTGTGCAAAGAACTCAGTTGGATTCCAGATATAGTTAAAATTTTGTAAACATACTACCACCATTGCTATAAGATTATATAAATAGAGGACTGGGGATTTGACTCAGTGGTGCTGCTGCCTGATCCCCAGTACAAAAAAAAAAAAAAAAAAAAAAAAAAAGATTGTAGAAGTAGAAAAAAATATATAGCTTTGGCAACCTAACATAAATGCTAATATTGCTCTGTCATGTCCCTTCAGCAACTCCCCCCAACGAACATTTATATTAATATAAACCCCTTGTTTTCCACTTAAAAATTGTATTTCCTCAGTGTTTTGCCTATTGATGCCACTGTATAATTATCAGTAGTTTTTTTTGGGGGGTAAACTATAACTATTAAATGAAGCATATTTTACCTGAGAAACTGAATTTGAAAGAAGTAACTCCTGACAGGCCTTAAAATTAGAAGTACCTGTATCTGTAGAAGCAGAGCGTGGTTGCATTCTGGAGGGGATATAGGTGATATCCTGTCATTGGATGTACTTAGTAGGCTGTGCTTTCTAGACTCAGCTCAAGTTCTACATGCAGACACCTTTTGTATTTAATTCCTTTGCTGTATGACACTTTTGCCCACCTTGGTATTTACTCCCTGGTTGCTGCTGTGTCATTAAACCCTGACTACTTTGATAGGCTGTCTTCATCCTTCACTGTTATAGCTTCTAACACAGGCATATTGTCTGTTAAGATACTGCATATATGCTAAAATGGGGCAGGATGTCTCTTAAGATTTTGAATACATGCCAACATAGTCATGATAGCTATTAAGATACTGAGTACATATTTGTACTCACAGCAGTCTTTAAAGTTGAATGAACGTGTATATTTACAGCTGTTATAACTAAAGCAGAGGTATAGAACTCTGTTTTCTGTATTCTTAAAGAAGCAGCACCATATTTGTGAAACACTTTTATTGGCAGTCTTCATGTTCATAATCCTGAGGCACTAAGGGCAAGCCTTGGGTCAGGGTATGGAGTTCTTAGGGTACTATAGAAAAAGAAGTGGTAGAGACCCATACAGTCCTTTCACACAGATCTGAACACAGTCCATGGAATGCAGGATGCTTTCTGTTACATACAGGCAGCTCTGCGACAAGTTGTTTCTCCAAACTAAGTTTGTTTGAAGTAACTTTACTTTCTAAATACTGGTAGATTACAGGAAATGTTTTATAAACTATTAGTATTGATTTAAGCAGTTCTGTGATAAATCAGATTATCAGATATGTAGTGTTGTGTGTTCTGTTAGCAAAATGGCTAGGACCAATTATCATTTTAAAATAACTTGATAAGTAAATGGTAAGAAAAGAACTATAGCATTATCCATTCTTAATGCAGATTATTTTGGAAAATAAGTTTTCAGTCTCTTTCCTTTTTCCTCACATTTGATTTCATTGTTATCTTAAAATATATCTAGATGGCAAATTATCAATTTATAATGAAATAAAGTTGTTTTGGAAGTGGTACCATTTTAAGGGAAAATGCCAGCAATGAGGGTATCATACAGATTTTTGCCTCATATAGATACTGAGGTCATACATATTATCTTCCCTTTGCTAGCAGTTTTATTGCTAGCATCCAAGAAGCATCTGCTTCTGTTTGAGCCAAGGTTGTGGAGCTTTTAATCCTTTATTCTAGCAAGGCCTCCATAACTGAACTATGGTCCATGACTTTAGGTTAAGATGAAAATTCTCCTGTTTCTTTTTGTTTTGTTTTTTTCTTTTTTGAGACAGTGTCTCATTATGTAGTTCAGACTAGTATATATCCCAGGCTGACCTCAAACTCACAGCAGTCTTCCTGCCTCAGCCTCCCAAGTGCGGGGATTACAGGCATGCACCACCACCATGCCTGGCTAAAATTCTCAGAATTTAAAGTTTTGCCCTGGGATATGAATATAAAAAATGTGAAGCAATAAGTAAATTCTGCATATCACTATTATGATATTGATTTATGGCCATGTTTGATATCTTTATATAAAATTAGCAACATACAGCTTATATTTGAGTTTTGTTTAAAGAAAATATTCAATTGAATACCTTTAAAGAAATTACTTTTTTTGCATATGTGTTATTGTAATATTCACAGATGCATTTTTTTTCTCTTATGAGCAGACACACTTGAAAAATGTAGCTTTTTGTCATTGACAAAAAATATGGAGAGAAAATTTTACCATGCACATGAACTAACCATTGGTGATTTCATTTATGATTATGCCTCTCCTGCTAATTTCCAGTTTTCTAAAACAGCAATTCTTACTCCAGCAATATTGTCAGACTATATATTTGACATAATTAATTAAGCACACTGTCTTAAAATATCAGAACATATAGTGCTTTGAAAAAAAATTGAAGTTGTTTATATTAAAATTAAATATTAAAAGTAAATATGATGGACCTTTCAAATTATAACTTTAATTTTTAATATATGTATATTTTACTTATTTTTGTTGTTGTTTTGGGTACTGGCAACTGAACTCAGGACTTGCCTTTGAGAGTAGGCGGCAGCACCACTGACCTAAATTCCTGATCCAAAACATTATGTTTTAAATTCATACTTTACACCTACTTTTTACTGCTGTTCACTTGGATCCGTTTTGTGGACATGTTTCTGCATGAATAATAGGAAGAAAGTCACTAATTTTCCAATTTTGTTTTTTTCTTCTCTAACAGGAAGATAGTGACCCTCCTGTTCATGAAAGCCTCAGCATAGAAAACACACTATGGGCAAGCACCGTTGTTGCATCAGGTACACAAGAATTTGTTCAAATGTGAATTCTCAAAAGATAGAGGTTGCCTACCTTTCTCAGAATTCCCTGAAATATTTAAGGACCTCCAGTTGAGTAGGACACTCCTGAGAGTCTGGTAAGGCCTGTGGTACTGGTCATCCATGACACCTGGAGTAGCTGGAAGGAGGCAGTGGTGATGCAGTCTTCATGGAAAAGTACAGGACTGTTTTTCTGGGTGTTGATATGTGTTTCTTGATACACGTTGTCATATGTCTTAATGAGAGGTGACAAAACAAGAGCCGTGGGTAATTTAAATGGCTCTTACCTACTTCTCATTTACTTGACAGACAAGAAGAGAAGAATGGTTGTGGTGACTTTGGAAGAGAAAAGTATTAGATGAGGCCTGACAGGCCAGTAAAAGTAGTTCAAATCAGGCCTTAGGGTTAGGCTAAAAATTCTGAATTTTACTTAAGAGAAATTAAAAGATAGTAGAGTCTTTCCGCAGTTGAAAAAGAAGCTACTTCAATTGATAGTTTTGCAAGTAATTTTCTATGGCGTATATTGAAAATGTAAATAATTATCACCTTATCAGAATTAGGTTGGCATCAATGAGGATATTAGGAATGAATTTTAGCAGATGTTAGTTGACATTGATGTTGATACCAAGACTGATGCTCCACAGAGGTAGTTGATAGTGATGATGTAAGCCAAATAGGATGGATGGCAGGAAGGGTGTGAGGCATCTTGCCAGAAGGGACAACTGTGTGAAGGTCTGGTACTGAGAGAACACAACATCCTGAAGAAGAAGACCTAGGCGTCAGGGTGCCTAGCCCATGGGAGGGAAAAAGTCAGAGCAGGACATTTCTGTGTGCTCATATTTGCTGTATGCCAAAGTGTACAACAGTCTTCTGCGGTTACACATATTTGCCTTTTAGGATAGAATATGAGAGTTCACTGTTATCCTAATGTTTCATGTTTTTAAAGAAGGATGAGGGCAAATATGAGAAGCCTAATTAGGTATCAGTTCTGCAAGGTGTTTGATGTTTTTGTTGTCACATGTCTTTTTAGTTATTCAAAATGTTAAAAAAAAAAGAAGTAAGGATGGTACTTGAAGAGGCCTCAGAAATAGGAAGGGCAGGTACTGGAGACCACAGGAAGAGTCCTTGTAGTGTAGAGTGGGGGCATTGCAACCAGGGCCACACTCAAGCTTGCTTCAAATCACTGTTGCATTTGCATTATTGACAATCATGGATTATTTAGAACAGTTTGCGTTCAGTGAGCCTTGCTCCTGGATAAAGGTCTATACCAGAAGACTTATTATCATGGCCAAGCACAGAGCCAGGCAGAACCTAGACTAGATTTTGAGTCCAGGCTTACCTTTAAAAAAACTACTGCCTTAAAAACAGTTTGTTAGAAAACATCTGAAATATAGGACTTAGAAGCTCATATTTGATCAGAAATTTAAATTTTTCTGTATTTCACATGATATTATTTTAGACTAAGGACCATTTTATAAGATTATTATTAGGAGGCTATCTTTTAAAAATAAATTTGGTTTGGTGTTTTGTTCTGTTTCCTTTTTAAACACATATTAGAATGTTATCACTGATCCTCAGTATTATTGATTTGTGGCCTTTCTCCTTGAAGAAATAAACCCAACTTGAGCTTGTGAGACAGCCCATATAATTTCCTAAACACAGTTTTTCTATTCTGACTTAATAGTCTGGATGACCTTGGCAGGTGTTATCTCCTCATGCATACTTTGACAACAGAGACACTAATTTATGCATCTTAACACATTTGTCATATCATACCCTTTCTTATTTTCTAAGGCCATGGAGTATTCAGTATCAAATTACTTGATTCTCCCAGAGATAGAGGTTGTTATAAGCCATACACTTAGAAAGGTTAACTAGGCATGCTGTTATTGTTAGTGTTTGGATATCTGTAAAATAAAAACTTTTCCTTTAATTTCATATGTTTTAAAGCATATTTGTCTTTATTGGAAAGATAATCATTCATGTGAATGGATGTCTATTGCCAGAGCACCATGCCCTGAAATATTTAAGGTAGCTTTTTTTGGATGCTGGGGATCAAACCGAAGCCATCATGTAAGTTAGCCAAATGTTCTACTGAGGATCTATACCCCCATCCCCAAGATGACGTGTGTCTGTGTGTGTGTGTGTGTGTGTGTGTGTACACTAGGGATTGAACTCAGGACCTTACGCTTACAAGTCAGGCACAGTGCCGCTGAGCTAAATCCCCAGCCCAAGATGATTCTTAAAGTAAAATGAACTTGGTCCTTCTTCCCCTCACATAGTTGTGAATATATGGGAGTAACGATTCAAACACAAATGCGTAAGGGAGTGAGTAACCAAGGGGAGGACAGAGAGAACTTCTATTCTGCCGTGTCCATCATCTTCTCCCTTGATTCAGAGAACACTGTTGCTCTAAGAGACTGATCAAGCCCTGATATAAAATGCCAAGAGTCTAGTAGAAAGACAGGCCTCAAGGGCAGAAGAAAATCACAGATTGGGATTTCAAGGAGTTTCTGTGAATAACAGATAAATTGAGAATATATATTTGAAAATCTTTTAGCAATTGTATATAGTTTAGTAATGTTAAAGAAACTGGAATATGTTTTCTTCTGCTTGGTTTTTATTTTGTTCTTACGGATTTATTTTTATTGTGTTTTGCAAAAGTAATAGTCATGATGGAATTTCCAAAATAAAATCTTTCCCTTTTCTACATACTATTTGATAGTCTTCTTGCCAAAGTCATTAAGAATTAGGATTGAAAAGAGACCTCTGTCCCAAGGAAGTCACCTAAAGAATCACTCCCAAAGAACTGTCATTAAGGGCAAAAAACTGGCCTTGGGAATAGAGCACGTGGATAATGCTAAGAATATTAGAAATTGCTAGAAATAGGGATTATAGATTGAGATCATGGGCATGACACTGAGGTGGATGCTGCTTGTGTGGGCTTGAGAGGTGGACATGAGAATTATGTCCAGAGCTTGCTTTTGCCCTCTTGATGGCTCCTGTTCATGGTTTGTAGACCCTGTCCCTGGTTCAGCTCTCGTGTTCTTCTTTGTTTCTGGCTATGTGGAAGCCACACTTGGATACAGTTGTTATGTGTCTCTGTTTCTGGTTGTGTGGTATCCATACCTGGGTGCAGGTCTGTTTTGTGCCGATCTCTTACATCTGTGTTTTGGGCTTTGTATAGTCCAGACCTGGGTGCAGATCTTGTGTGTCCCTCTTTGTGCCTCCAGCCTTGTGAAATCCACACCTGGGGGCAAGTGTCATGTGTTCTTGCTTGTACCTGGGGCTGTGTGAACATCAAACCTAGTTTATGTCCCTTTGTTACTCCATGTCTGCAACCTTCTTGTCGATGTTGACTTCCTGAGACTGTTTGTTGTCTCCTCAGGTCACTTAGCTCTTAGAGCTTGGTTGGTATGTGACATGGTGTTTTTACCCTTGCTCTGTGGTGCTTCCTTATGAGGCACAGCCCAGCATATGAACAAGCTACATCTCAGAGAACAGTATGGATCCTGACATTTGTGAGAATTGGAGTTGGAAAGCATTTGGCAATGGTCGTCAGTATGTGGCTGGTGTCCTTGGTCCTGACACATTTTTTTTTTTAAACAGAATTTAGCAGGTTCTGATACTAAATACTTCGATTGACAACTGTTTTGTGTACACAGAAAAAATATTTTTTATTTACTTTTTTATTTTTTGTATTTTACTGTTTATTTTGTATTTACTTTTTTATTTTAAAAAAAATTTAAGTAAGCATTTTTTGATCTAGCAGTTTAAAGCCATTAAACCTTTTGTTATAATGCTGTAGGTTTTACTTTATATCTAATTTTTTATGAATCATCCTACAATGACTTTGAATTTCTAAGGATTGTTTGATGATAAGTAAATTCAGCATATATCTGTGGTTAAAAGATAACCAATGGAAAGGGTTACAATATAATGATAATTTAAAATATTAAAAATAGTAGTCAGTTTGATTTTCTGAATGATATTTTGTCATCATTGAAATTAAATATAGAAAAGAATACCTTTTCACCCTAATGTTGACCATGTTAGCATTTTTTATTAGTTTGTATTTTTTTGTTTTGCTTTTTTTATTTGGTACCGGGGATTGAACTCTGGTCCTTGCACTTGCAAGGCAGGCCACGGAACCGCTGAGCTAATCCCCGGCGCCTTATTAGTTTGTATTTAAAAAGCTGCTTGCTTACTGTTAATTAGAAGCTGTTAAGGTTTTGTATGAAATTTTCTCAATAGTGTGTAGTAAGTAGGTCATGCATACTAACTACTCTGATAGAAAATCTGATAGAACTGAAGTTTAAAGTAATGCAAATGGACCTCATAATGTCATGGATGGAGATTGGAGGAGTAGTCCCAGCAGTCCCGGGCCTGACTCTCTTAACAACTCAGAAGGTTGTAGAAGAATCAGATAGAAACCAAAAGCATAGAAGCAAAGTTGTATTTTTATTCAGCAAGCATGCAAGAGTACAGCTGCCTTCTTTCAGAGAGATAGGCAGGGCTGCCTGAAATGGAGCCACTGTTTGGAGGGGGGCTCAAGATGTTATTTTTATAGTATTTGGGGGCCTATCTTGCCTCTGGGTTAAGGGTGCCCCTACTTGATTGGTTAATGATTGCCTTAGCTCAGGACAACAGGAAATGGTCTTTTTGGGGGCTGTTTACATTTTAGGGCCCAGGTTATTCTTCCTTTTGATCTTAGCAAATCAAGCTTTGCAGGGTATGTCCTGAAGAGGAGGTGCAACTGCAGACTCAGCTTTTCACGGGTGGTTAAAACTATTCTGCCAGCTATCTGAACTACTTTGGGGTGGTGTCTCATCTTTCCCTGGCTAGGGTCTCTATCCCTACAGTAAGTGTCATTTATGTTTCATTCTCAAGAGCCAGTCACAGGGCCTGGTCATCTTGTTAGTAGTATGCTATGTTTGTGCCTTCTGTTTGGGACAGCCAGCATCTACATCTTTTTCTGTTTATTTTTAACTAACTGAAGTCACTTTGAAGTATGTAAATATGTCAGGTGAATATAATCACTGGCTTTCAAGATTATATACCCCAAAATTTTAAGAAATGTTTTCTTGGTAAAACTGAACTAAGACTTTTATTTAATTACTAATATCACTATCACCATTAGGGACTTTGTGGTATGGTACCTATTATTTGTTGAGGTTTATGGTTTTAATATGTAAACATTCCTGAATTTATGTCTTTCTGAAATAGAAGCTTCCTAACTTGGAGTGAGAGAGAAGAGAGCTTTATTTTATTTTATTTTTTTTGGTACTGGGAATCAACTTGGCTTCTTGCACTTGAAAGGCAGGCAGCGTCACCACTGAGCTAACTCCCCAGCACTGAGAGCTTGATTTTATACTTAAAATATAGAATAAAGGTTTCCCATTTAAATATTTAATGGGAAATCTTAAAGCATTCTGTTTATTCATTCTTCAGTTTTCTGACGTGATATAAGTGTGTTGTGTCTTACCCTCTCATGTCTTAGTTTCAAAATTGGCAACTTTCCCCTTTCTGATGTTTCTATTTTTTATTTTAATTTAACTTATTTATTTATTGTTTTGAGACAAGCGTTCACTATGTAGTTCAGGCTGGCCTTGAACTCACCAGCAGTCTTCCTGCTTCAGCCTTCCAAGTGCTGGGATTACATATGTGTGCCACCAGGCCTGGCTTTCCACATTTCTTTATACAGGGTTTCTTCAGTCTCTTAAGCTCTCCTAGTCCATAAACACATACCTTTCTCTAAAAGAGTAGAGAATATTATATATATTTTTGTGTTGATTCTAACAATTTTACTAGTAAAAATTATAGGACTCATGTATTTAAGTTAATTATAGGAGTACTAATTTTTTGAGAGAACCAAATGAGGGAATACATTTAGCAAACATTAATATATTATACAAATATAGCATCAAGCATTTTGTGAAATAATTGCTATGAATGTTGTATTTCTTATTATGCCATTTCTTACATTAATTAGTGTACTGTAAATTGTACTGCCAGCTAAAATCCACATTGTTCCTAATCTGCCTGGGCTTGTAGGGAAAGAGATTTTAGCTTGATTAATTATTGTGAAGTTTTCTTTCTCTGAGGCTTGATCTTTCTACTATTTCCCTCCCCCCCCCCTTTTTTTTTTTAGTACCAGGGATTGAATGTAAGACCTTGTGCTTACAAGGCAGGCAGCAGAACCACTGAACTGAATCCCCGGCCCTTTTTCTACTAATATTAAAAGATAAATTAATCTTGTAATTTGCCTTGTTATGTCATTGTGATTATTCACATTAGTGGCATTTTTATATTTTGATCAAGTTAAATTGGCAAGTAAAATATTGATCAGATCATATTTAACATTTTACTTTATTCTCTTTTAACATTAAAAGAATCAATGATACAAATTTTTTAAAAGCTTTTCATGGTATTGCACCACTGTATATTTAATATTTCTCTGTACATTAGGTATAGTCATTTCATCTAGGTAGTTTATATAGATAGTAACATATAAATCAGCATTTGTACATTTGGATGACCTTACATGCCATGTATGTGCTTACCATGCCTTTGGCAAACTGAAGCCTCATAACCTTCCTGGTAATGCCTAAGTTAAAAACAAAGACATGTAACCTGTGCACACACCACTGTTGAGGAATACTTTAACATCTTCCATTTTTTGGAGCTTGCTAGAGAGAAAGTTGTAAGTTATATGGTATGTAATGTGCAATTGTCAGTGCACTTAATAAACTGAGGGATGATATATATTTACTTTGTAAATTCTGACTTACTTGCTAAATTTCACATGTGAAATTAATATGACATCAAATAGTTTTTGTACAGTCATTAATTTTGAAGTAGTTTTTAATTTCAAAGGTTACAGTCTTTCTCACTATAATCATGCTTTCCCCTTTGAAATTTAAAAAACTTAAGGGTGAAATGAGGAAACTATGATACATATGTGAGGATAGAACCCATGGCCTTTGCACTGAGCTATATCAGTACTCTGCCCATCTGTCCGTCCATACATCCATCCAATGCTTCATTTATACATTTATTATTCATTCATTTATTCGAGACAAGGACTTACTAAGTTATTGAATTCCCCAGGCTGGGCTTGAATTTACAGTCCTCCTTCCTCAGATTTTCATAGTGTTGGGATTACAGGCTGACAGTCCAGAGATAAGTGGTTTTTTGTGACCAATGGGTCGTTCTAAGGATTTTTGATACTCTTTTAAGTTTAAAAAGTATAGTATCTTCTTGGCACATAAAATTTTAAAAACCAAACTTTCAGAGTCATGAATAAAAGGAAGTAAGAGTATTTAAATGGGAAATCAAAACATTCTAATGAATCTTCCTGTGTTTTGATTTATGTACCTGAAATGAACTTTCAGATCTTCTTACAGTCTTGATGTACAGTGAACTCTTGCTCTCAGCTTGTTCTCCTAGTCCCATGGGTTTGGAGGTCTTGTGATGCAGCTATCAGTTAAGAACTGCCTCTTAACAAAGAAAAAAAACCCAAAATGGGGATTTAGTTCAGTGGTTCCACCATCTGCCTCCCGAGTTCAATCTCCAGTACCAAACAAAAAGGACTGGGGATGTAGCTCACTGTGAAGGCCCCAGTATTAACAAACAAACAAACAAAAGGAACACAGCCTCTTGATGGAATACCAGTGTCAAGTCACTGTTTGTAGTAGATAGTAACCAAAAGCCTGCCTTACTCTTTCTTCTGTTAAGGGAAAGAATATTAGTGCATTTTAAATGATATTTGTGGGTAAATTTGTATTATTTAACAAATTATTTCACTTTTTCTAAGTCCATTAAAAGCTTGAGGTTAGCCAGGCGTGGTGGTGTACACCTGTAATCCTAGCACTTGGGAGGCTGAGGCAGGAGGATTGCTGCAAGTTCGAAACCAGCCTGGGCTACATAATGAGTTCTAGGTCAGTCTCAACTACACAGTGAGACCCTGTCTCAAAAAACTAAAAAGAAAAGGACAAAAAAAAGAATTTAGATTTTCTTGAAGTAATTAAGTTAAGTTAGACTGTTAGATAAATGTATATAAAGTCAAGTAATGTAATACATTTTTATCAAGACAACTAGAGAGTGTTATCTGTTTGCTTTACTTTGAGGTATTTCTATAAGGACCACTTTCATGTTTTTGCAGGTACTGTAATAGGTGTTGTCATTTATACTGGAAAAGAGACTCGAAGTGTAATGAACACATCCAATCCAAAAAATAAGGTAGGCTAGACTAAGGAGTGACTACATTAATGAACTTGCTTTTTCTTTTCATTAAGAAACTCTCTGTAGTTCTGAATAGCTCATTCTCAGTGCATTATATATGACCTGGAAAAAAGACTCTCAAAAGTGCTGGTGATTTATGTGTTCTCTGTATTTATATAACATTCTCTTACTCAAGAATTTTAAAGTGCATCTTCCTCTGCCTTGTTAGAGTTGTATGTGTGTCTTGAATTTGCATTGTTAGATACGCAATTTGATAATTAAATGTGGGTCTCCACCTTCTCATCTTCTCATTTTATAATTTGCATTCTTTGTCTTTATGTTGACTTTATTTTTAAAGCAAAGAAATCTCTATTAATGTTTTGTAATATTTAACATGATAATGTTGTTAAAGCAGTTTTATTTCTACTTCAGAAGCATACTAAAAGTCCGATTGCAGTTTTAAAGACTGCTTAATTATATTCCTAAAATTGTTACTTGTGCAAACATGTTTGTAAGTTATAGAACAAAGTTAATGTGAATTGTTGGTAGAGCCAATGTATAAATGATTCTGTTTACAATGATCATGAAATCACAATGTGTTCTTACATGTAGGTAAGGAAAAGCTCTTCCTATTCCTTCTACTTATTTTTATTTGAAATAGCATCTGTGTATTTAAGTGTAACAGACAGTCTTTATGTGGATTTATGATTCACTCTGAGTAGCTAATAGCAAAGGTTGTACCTTGCAGGAAATTTTGTTACACAGCTATAGAAATGAGTTCATCCTTCTAAGAATATACATTTATGACAAGTTATATTCTATTTTTCAGCTAAATTTTGAAAAAATAGCCCTTCAAATACTAGCTAGGCAAATGTCACTAACCCATCCGTGTTAGTGAAACAACCCCCCATGTGCTGCTGTCTTCTTTGAATAGATACTCTGCATAACCATTGTCGGCAGATCTTATAGAACTTTCAGTGATGCGAACAGCCCACTGCAGCATGTGTGCCATAGGTTCACCACTGACATGCCCCCCCATAGCTAGTCACATACTTATCTTAAGTGTCTGTGTGTGACCCACATGCACTTACATACAACATATATGCATACAACTATTGTGCTACTCTTACTTTGCTATAAATTCTAATTGTGATAATAAGGGAAATTCTCTTTAGATTTATAATGTAACTTTAATTTTAGTATCATATATACCCAACACTAATTCTATAGTAGTTACAAGTTTTTAAAATAAATTATTTCATTACTGACACAGTTAGAAATGTGTGTGTTTTCATGTATTTTCAAGGAAGCATGATTTGTTTTCCTTCATGTGAGCAAGTAGAATATTCTAGTTCATGTACTAGCTTAAAGGCTTTTTTCTTAATCTTTGGACTTAAATTATATGATGATGTTTGAGGGTAAATTTAATTTATTTTTTTAAGGCAAGGGAGAGTGATCTGAACTGGGTTATGAGGCTCCAGTATAGGGTGCCTTACTCAGCCATTGAACTCAGTTCACAGTTGTTGAGTCTGTTCCAAGGCCCAGCTAAGCTAAATCGCCAGGCCCCTGCCCAAGGATGGGCTCCTAGCATCTCCTGCCCAGTCTGCCCTCACAGGGAGGCCCTGCTCTTTGGGAACTCTCTCAGGCTCAGGAAAGGCCCTCTTAGTGCCGATGTTGGCCCCAATCTCAGACCTTCCCAAGAGTGAATTTAATTTAAGCATTGAGAATCTTAAATATTGCTGTTTAGTTTGACCCTCTCAAAAAGTCCACCTTATTCTTTAGTTTATTTCTTTGCATTTTTTTTCCTTTGATTTAGTCATCCCATCACTTTTTTTCCCCTATGAATCCCTTGTGTATTTTTAGCTCATTGTACTCTTCACCTGGGTTTTGTTTGAAGGTAATTTAAGTGACCTGCTAAGTTTTTGATTGTGGTTAAGAATTCTGGCACTGGAGTTTCACTGTATGGATAAGAGCCCAGGCTTTGCCACTGACTAGCTATTTGGCCTTTGGGAATTTTTGCATCTTAATTTCCTCTTCTATAAAATAAAGACAGTGCATATATATGATTGCTGAGAAAAATTTTAGGTATGCATTACTCTTAGAAAAGAACTTGCTATATGAAAAATGCTCGATAGATGTTACATGTAATTATTATTGTTATTATTGTTGTTGCTGTTGTAAAATCAAATGTTTTCAGTGCCACAGTTTTTCAATGCAACTTTTATTTCCGGGCTAGTTTGTGCAAGGTATTGTGCTTTGTGCTATTATGTAGTTTAAAAATGCCATCATTGGTCACCCTGTCTTCCTCTTCTCTATCCATCTCCCTTCTGTTTCTTTTTCCATTTTTCCTATCTTTAAAAACTAGCTTTTTACATTTTCTTGTGTTACCAAGGACATTATTAGAGTTTTTTTGTTTTGTTTTGTCTTGCGTTTTAATAAATAGAATTGGATTTAAACCCTTTGCCTTTTAGGGGCTTTACAGCCTCTTATAAAATTCCTCATTCAGTAAGACTGGCCTCTTTGGAATTTAACAGTGTTCCATCCTCTCTTTTAACCAGAGTCAAGACAGTGATAGCTGAGGCTTGTGAAGCATCTTGCATGCAGGGTACTTTTCCAAAATTTTCCATGCATGAAGTTGTGCATTTGCATGGCAGCCTCCAAAAGAGGGTGATGCAGCAGTAGAACTGAGACTGCAGGGAGGGGAGTGTGTGCTTTGTGAGAGAGAACACTTGATACTTCCTAGGCTTGACATTTAAACATTTTTTAAAATTAAGAAATAATCTAAGAGAGGAGTGAATTATATACCTTTATGTAATAAAATATTTCTGGATGTTCAAGGCTAGTTTTATAAGAATAAAATTCAGAGTAGGGTTTGGCAGATGTTATAGTTGGGGACAAAGTAACAAATTTGGGGAAAGTTTTGCTCTTGATATATGTTCACTGAAATGAATATGTGACAGTTGTCCCTAATTATATAAGGGAAGACAGAAATTATTGCTTACTGTTTATGAGACCTTGCTTTCTAAAGACTACATCTTAGAAAGCTACATTCTTGTGTAACTTAGTAAACCAGCAAAATTTGAACTTCAAGAAAGGCTGGTGCAAAGAAAAGAGCAAAAATTTAAAAGGAAAATATTTTATCTGAGCATTTATCTGAGTTTCATTAAATTTCAAGGAATCAGGAGCATCCCTAACACCAAGTTCTGATAGCTATTTAATGCACCAGATCTTGATTGCTGTGGTAATCAGTTTTAAAGTCATCCTGGAGTTCATTGTCAGCAGAGTATTTTAGGCTAGAAACACATATTTTTGTAGTTCCCATTAAGTGTTTACCAGTCAGATGAAGCTAAGTCACACTGGTCTAATAAACTTCCTGAACTTTAGTGGCTTACTGTATAACAGCCTCTTCCATGTGTTCCTTCTCTGACTCGGACTGGTGAGTGCTTGCTCATCGTGGTCCCTAGAGGACCCACTTCAGAAGCATACTATCATGACCACAAGTATAATAAAAATCTGACAAATTACATAACTGACTGTTAAGGCCTTTGCCATTGAGCAGTATAGGTTGAATTTCATTGGCCAAAGCAATTAAATGGCTCCAGCTATGTTCAGGAATAGGGAAGTACAATCCTGCCCCATATGTAGAAAGAGAGAATTGGGAATTATCAAACAAGGTATGATAATGATTGCCTAAAATAGAGTAATGAGTGGAATTTTCCAGGGCTCTGGGTAATATGAAAAAAGGCCCTCATAGAACCCTGAGGAATAAGAATGTTCAGTAGGTTAAGAAAAGTCAGAGAGGCCAGGTTGAATGAAGTAAGCACTTCACAATAAAACAGAAAAAGGCATTAAAGCAGGGAGGTGTTTTCGGAGGAGGCAACAGCATACTGTGGGCCAGAGATGGCAAATCTTTTAGAGCTTTCAGTGATACAAACAGCCCGCTGCAGTGCATGTGCCAAGCACTATGTGTACTGTGGAGCTCGTGTGGTATAAAAAAGAAGATATGAGTAGATTTAGCAGTTAAATCAGCTGTTGTATTTTTACTAGAGTAGGTTTTAGGTGTAAAGGCTGTCTTAGAGACTCTGAAGGGATCAGGGTACCAGAAGGTGTCATCTGAGAGAAACTTGAACCAGGATTAGAGAATGGGAGAACTGGCCATGGTTTTAGGCAGAAAGCTCAGAGAAGTGGAAAAGTAATGTTGGTTTTTTGAGTTTTTTTAAATTGACTAATTATGCCATAAGGGAAAGGATTTTATTGAGTTTTGCTTTTTCTGGAGGGAAAAATCTATATTATAATAATATTGTTTTCAAAAAAGGATAAAGAGCCATCATTATAGGAATAAAAATATTTTAAGAAAAATAGGTTTAATGGTTACCCAATAATAACTTAAACATGATATTAACATACAGAAAACAAAATTACACAGTGTTATATGGCTATCATATGAACTGTTACATAGCTTCTGGGGTATAGGTTTGCAGTCAATCAATATGCCTCTCCCCTGTCTTCCTCTTCCCTTTTCTTCTCCCTTTTCTCTTTATAATTCGTTTTCCCCCTCTTGCAGGAGAATCAATGCTGATTTAATAAGAAGTGGTTAATCCTAATAATAATTGAAGTAGTACATGCTAAGGGCTTGAGACATTTCCTAAACAGACTAAGAAGGATTGTAGCCTAAGCATTTAGGCTCATAAGGTTAGGTACCCAACTATTGTTGGAATCATAAAGCTGTAACGGAGCCAGTAACAAGCAGAGGAATTTTCTCAGGCTCTATACAATAGGCTCAACACAAAAAAATAGGCCTTGGGCTAATGTCTGAGGATGGCCAAAGAGGAACACAGCTGCATAGGCAACAAAGTTAGCAGAGGCAGCTAAGATACAGACAGTAGTCCACAAGCCTCCTGCAGTAGCACAAGATTGTCTCCCCTGGAAAGGGATGAAGTACAGAAAGTACAGGTGGAGGAGGCATGTCCCTCTTAGAATTCTGGAAGCAAAGTAGTTGTTGGTGATAAAAGGCAGAG